GGATTTACTATCAAACTTTGCATCTGGAAATGTTTTAGAAGACGCACGGAGGATTTATATGGCTTAACTATTACAGGCATGTCAGCTATTTACTGAAAGAACCAATACTGAAAACCACTTTTATGACAGAAGGCACACGGTCCCTCGCATTAAGGAGCTTCGGTCACACTGTTGCTAGGACTGCAGGTGGAAGTAACATTTTGAATTATACACTATACAGCTGAACGTTTTCATTTCCTACTACGTTAGCTGTTTCACTTCCATGTCTGTACCCTGGATAGACTTCTACACGTGCACACCATGAGGTAAACACATATCATGAGATCATTCACCAAAACAAAACAAAAATTTCCAAAACTTAGCAACCAGACGATTCTGTAAGGAGGACAAGTATATTAGTTATGGAATATGGTACATCAGCACAATGATGGAATTTTGGCTCTGTGTAACAATGTGTGAGGGTGTGGAAACGCAGCTGGGTGAACAGGCAAGTGTTAGAGGATTATGGACAGCAAGGTAGCATTTCAAAACTCCAAAACTCCATGAAAGAGAACAAAAGCTAATTGTTTTTCTTGTTTCAACTCTGTCTTGTCTTTCTTTCCTTCCTCCTTTCTTTATGTGGTAGATAACTGCATCAAACAGAATTGATGGTGAAAGTGTATAGAGGCCTGAGTGAGGCTCCAGGGCTTCAGAATGGCCTGTCTAACTCTACAGCAGTTCACCGAGATGTATAGGGTTTGGGACCGGGCCAGGCTGTGTTTGAGTGGCTTCATTAATCTAGCTGCGTGATGTTATTTGTAAGTTCATTGCAATATGTGATTTTTATGTAAGAAAAAGAAAAGCAAAACAAAACCTTGAAAACTAACCCAGGCAGAAACTTGAGCATAAATAATTCTGGATGTCGACATATTGCTCAGTACAATAGCAATGGAGGACAGTGGGAAGGGAGCTCAGGAGAAATCTTCCTGGTTGGTACCGTCCTTTTCAACCAGGCCATTGTTTTATGTCTGTAGTACTTACGGTCGTGCTTCAAAACAACACTTTAAGGCACCCTTTCGTATGTATCGTTGAAAAGGTTATACATATAGAGGTGTATACTGCAGAATGCCAGAAAAAGTAATCAACACACTCCTATTCAACACAAAGCACATATTTGTATAGAAATGACAAATACTTAAGAGCATGACTCAAAGTGATAATTGACAAGTTTAAGATGTGCAGAGAATTTCTACATGATTTGGAATTTCCTTCACAGGTTTTCTTTTCAAAATTTGTTTTTAGGTTTATTTACTTTTATGTGTCTTGAGTGTTTTGGCTGCCTGTCAATATGGGCACTATGTGCATGCCTGGTGCCCTTGGAGGTCAGAAGAGGGCATCAAATTCCCTGGAACTGGAGTTATGGATGGTTTGAGCCCCTATGTGGGTGCTGAGAACTGAACCTGGGTCCTCTGCAAGAGCAAGTGTTCTTAATCACTGAGCCATCTCTTCAATCTCTACATTCATTCTCCAAAGGCTTAGAAGATAAACCATATTAGATGTTTATAACTTTGTACAAGGTAGAAAAAACAAAAAGAGATGAGGACATAATGAAACATCATACTAGTCAATACATCGACTGGTTATTTTTTGAGACAAGGCCTCACCCTAAATGTAGAGCTTACCCATTTGACTGGCCAACAAGTCCCAGGGATGCCCCTGTCTCCACTTCCCCAGCAATGGGACCCAGCTTTTCACACAGCTGCTTGGGATCTATGGTGATTTGAAAGAAAATGGCCCCCATAGGCTCACAGGGAGTGGCACTATTGGGAGGTGTGGCCTTGTTGGAGGAAGTGCATCACTGGGTGTAGGCTTTTGGGTTTCAGAAGCCCAAGACAGGCCCAGGATCACTGTCACTTCCTGCTGCCTGTCGATGCTGATGTAGAACTCTCAGCTACCTCTCTAGCACCATGTCTGCCCACCACGATGATGATGGACTAAACCTCCGAACTGTAAGCTGCCCCAGTTAATCCTTTCCTTTATAAGGGTTGCTGTGGTCATGGTGCCTCTTCACAGCAACAGAAACCCTAAGACAGGATCTGAACTCATGTTCTCATCCCTGAGTGGGCTTGAGTGGCAGGCATGTCACCAACAGAGCCATCTTTCCAGTCCTTACCTAGTTATTGTCACTGTTCTATCTCATGAGAACCCAGGATTGCCATTAGCTCAGTGCTCATTACCAAGTTCCTTGTACCGATAAAGTACTTGCACAGTACGCATTTTACACTACCTATTTCTTTCCTGTGAAGTTTAGAAAACATTTCACTTGAGCGACAGGGTTTTTACTGTATAGGTGAAGAATAATTTATTTGTATTTGTGTCAGATGCTAACAGTGCAGTCCTTGTCCCAAATGTGTGTCATAAGAATTCATGTAATTTTTGTTTTGATTTCTGTAACAAAGATTTATGGAAATGTCATTAGATAAGTATAAAAATTATAGTTTTTATAGTCATCTCTGTATCACTGGCAATCAATGGATGTTAGAGTACTGTATAATCAGAATTGGGTTCAATTTCTTATTTTCTGTATTATGATATTTAACATCTTTGGGCCTTAACTTCCTCATGTCATAAACACAGATGACAGCACTCTGTCTTCATTAGAAGATTGCTGGATGGATGGAAACAAATACATATCCATCTAAAAACTCTTGCAGACGGGTGTGGTGGAACACACCTCTTGTCCACCCACTAGGGAGGCAAAGGCAGAAGATATATGAGTTCAAAGACAGCCTAGTCCACACAGTGACTTCAAGGCCAGCCAAGGCTAAGGAGAGACTTTGTCTCAAAAAAAGAACAAGACCAAACCTTTGTAATCAGAATGAGCAAAAGTCAATTTGGCACTAGTGGAAAGTGTCTTGTTTTTCTAGCATATTCAAATTATGGTAAAGTATAACAAAATGCTTATTCAGGCATTTAAAAATTGAAAGTTATATGAAATTTCTCAACAGAAATAGGAAAATGCCCAGAGGGTCTTCTTGAAAATGTTCTTGATTTTTACAGATGAACCCCTTGGATGGAAATGTCACAGCACAGCCTCACAGAATTTAAAGATGTCTAGGTTTAGTACTTAATTCATTATGTGAAGCCAGTACGGTAATCTTACTTGTGGGGCTTCAGGGAACAAGTCACTTGTCTAGAGGTGTGTTCTCTAGTCCTTGCACTTGGAACGCAGAGTCCAGGCAGATGCCCCAGTCTTGCGGGACACAAGAATATATTATAGAGATTCATTATGTTTATCTACAAATTGTGTTTGCTCTAAGAGACACCGTTTATGGACAAAAGTACTAATATACCTCAAATCTGGTAATTTACAGTAAGAAATAATTTGTTTTCCTAAATATACACACATACACATACGGTTTTTTGAGACAGGGTTTCTTGAGCTACAGTTCTTAAAGGATTTTTAATTTATTATCTGATTTTGGAACTTCTTGAATACTGAACAATTGACCCAGTTTGTTTTGAACTTTCATCTTCTTGCTCAAGTGGACAATATTGAAAGCCATAGCTTATAATCATATTGAAGACTGTGCCCTAGTTTTCAAAAATATGTTTGTAACAGTTCCTCATATTTGCTTCTTGCCACTTCTATTTATATTTGTATTGTTGGGATCATATTATATGTGCCATTTAAATTATTAACTATTCTTTTCTTTCTGGTTGTGAGGGAAGTCTAGGTTTTTGTAGAAACTTTGGCAGTTGTGGAAAATAGACAAAAATCTGAAGGAGAAAATGTGAATTGCTATAGTTACTACTTTACTGATTGAACATTTTGTTATATTTCTTTCCAGTCACACACACGGTTTTTCGAGACAGTTTCTCTGTGTAATAATCCCGGCTGTCCTGGAACTAGCTCTGTAGACCAGGCTGGCCTTGATCTCACAAAGATCCACTTGCCTCTGCCTCCCAAATGCAGGGATTAAAGGCGTGCGTCACCACAGAGAGGCTTATAGTTTATAGCTTAAAACGTAATTGGGATCAAAAGAAGGATGAAGTGTTTGGGGGACACACTGGCCGGAAGGGTATCGAGAGGCCTGAAGGCCAGTCCAGTGGATCAGCACCGTTTTTCGCGGACATGGGTAGAGAGAGTGAAATTTTTCCTTTAAAGGGCACTTCTTCATACTCTAGGCGACCAGCCCTTGCCCACATTTCAAGTTATCCTGCCGAGATCCATCTTCTGTGAGGACGGAGGAGGTAGCTGTCACTTCGGAGCCTCCAGAAGACTTCTAACCTGAACCGCAGGCAGAGTCGCTCGCGGAGGACACTCCGTGTCTCCCCGTGAGAGCGTGGCGACCAGGACAGTCCCAGTCTTTAGAGGCCAGCCCTTCCTGGACCCCCCGAGGTTGCTCTACAAGCCTAATGTCGGGCTCTGAGGTCCTGGGTTTGCCGTCCGTGGGACAAAGCCGCTGGGGCCCGGGACTGCGTCCTGCCTCTCGGGAGATCCACGCGGGCCTCGTGGGCGACCGCCTCGTGTGGCCAAACCAATCACTCCGTTTCGAGCCGGGAGAAATGTGTCCTATCTTGCTAGCCTTAGGAAGGGGTAGGCGTGGACGGCACCACTGTGCAGCGTGCCGGAGGGGGAAGCGCTCCTGCACAGCTTCCCGGCTCCCCAGCTGGCAGCCGCGCAGCCCGAGAAACCAACCATCAGGGCAGTGGCGTCACTATCACACTGTCTCCGGGAGCCGGCCCCCCCAGGGCAGAACCGACCATCCGCTCGAGCCGGGCGGCTGGACGTGGGGCTCCCCCCCAAACCCCGCGGTTGCCTCGACCTGCTTGCTGCCCACGCGCGTCCGCCACCGCGAGCTCCTTCGGGCCCCCTAGTCGGGTGAGAGCGCGACGCGGTCTGGAAGCTCCACTCCAGGGGCGGGGCGGGGCGGGGCGGACGTGTGCGAGCCGGGGCGGGGCGAGCACGAGCGGAGCCGGGAGCTGCCGAGCAGAGCCGAGCCGAGCCGAGCCGCGAGGTGCCGGGGAGAGGCAGGCAGAACCTGCCCGCCGCTCCGCACCCTCCGTGCTGCGTGTTCCCGGCTCGGTGTCTCCTTGCCTTTGCCCCGGCGCCCGCAAAACTTTTATTGTCTCGGGCTCCCCCGGGCTGTGTGACGAAATCGCAGCGCTCCGCTGTCTCCACGCTCGCCTGCAGCGGCGACCGAGGGGACGTGCAACCCTCGCCCGCCGCCGCCGGGCTCTTCTTGCGCTCTCTGCGCTTCCTCACCTGCCGATCGCTCCCGGGAACCGCGAAGTGGGGGGGGGGGACCCCCAAAGGGACCGCGCGGGCGCCTCGGCACCCCGAAATCCTGTTCACCGGACCGGCGCGGCGCAACTTTAACTTGATTCTTGTCGCCCACCCAGGGCACCCGCGGCGGCCGCCGCCGCCGCCGCTGCCGCTGCGGTCTCACAAAGAGCGCGGGGAGGGAAGGCGGCGCGGGCGGCGGGCACGGGCCTCGGGGCTGCCTAGACAAAAGGGAAACTGCCATCGCTCTGGGCTCCTGTTCCGACCCGCCGTGGGTTCATCCTACCGGCCCGGGCTGCCTCTTCGCCTCGGTCCCCCGCGGGCTGTGCCCGCAGTGCTCGGACCCCGCGAGCCGCGGGGCGCGCGTCGCTGCTGCTGGTCGGGGCTCTAGGGATAATAAATGATAGAGGATACAATGACTTTGCTGTCTCTGCTGGGTCGCATCATGCGCTACTTCTTGCTGAGACCCGAGACGCTTTTTCTGCTGTGCATCAGCTTGGCTCTGTGGAGTTACTTCTTCCACACGGACGAAGTGAAGACCATCGTCAAGTCCAGCCGGGACGCGGTGAAGATGGTGAAGGGCAAGGTGGCCGAGATTATGCAGAACGATCGCCTTGGAGGACTTGATGTGTTGGAGGCCGAGTTTTCCAAGACCTGGGAGTTCAAGAGCCATAATGTGGCGGTGTACTCCATCCAGGGCCGGAGAGACCACATGGAAGATCGCTTCGAAGTTCTCACCGATTTGGCCAACAAGACGCACCCGTCCATCTTCGGGATCTTCGATGGGCACGGCGGTGAGGTAGGAGTTCTCTGGGTCTGTGTAAAAAAACCGGGCGTCGCGTGCGTGGCGGGGTCGGATCTGGGTGAGAGGGGCGTGGTGATGACCTGGTGATGACAGATGGCATTCAAGTTGCCGGGACCCTGCTATGCATCCGAGCGTTTAGTTTAGCCAAGAGATAGGCACTGGATATTCCGTGCCTTTTTAATACGAAGTTCCCAAGGTCAGAAGCCAGTAAATGACTGGTAGTTTTCCGGGAATTAATAGTATATGCAGTGAACTTTGTCCCCGGGCCTCAGTGTCCCGATTCTAGAGTTTGAGGCGAATTAGCTGCGAAGGAAGACTTGTGTCTTCGGTGCACCCCTAAAGGGAGGAAGCCTGCATCTGTTGGATAGACTCAGTGAAGGTGAAGGAAGCTGTGACTTCTCCCACTACCTTTGCTCTAGGGAAGGACCCCCAGCGGCAACGCTGAGCTTCTTCCCTAGTCTGTCAACTTTGCTGGTGCAATGGGACGGACGGGGGCCAGGGCTGCCTCACTGGTCGTGGGTTTTGGCTGCCTGGCCTTTGCAGAGGTGGCTGTGCACAGAGCAGGCGGTGGCCACACCTGACCTCTGTGCAGTGGCCAGCTTCGGAATACTGACGTCTCTTTCCTTCTATAAGCCTTTGTTAGGGGTTTATCTGGGAGCAGGAAATGGGCCAAAGCCCGCTTTAGGTCTTTCTCGTAAATTTCTGCGACATTTGACACTGGAGAGTGCGGAGTCTCAGGTTTCCTGGAGGTCCTGCCCGTGGGCCAGTGCCCAGACTGTGAGTGTTAAAATGTGGCTCCGGAGCTAAGCTCCCGAGCCTATGTCTGCCTCAGTTGGACACTTGTAACAGTTTGATTGCATCATGCTCCCCCACGTCTTTCTTGGCAGCATTCCTTATCACCTATTCCTTCTCTGCCTCTTCTTCCTTCCACCGCACCCTTCCCCATCTTCCTCCTCCCAGTGGGCTCCAGGGAGCTGTAGGACTGCTCTTCTCCTGGGGCTTTTGCTTCTTCTTTGGTCCAGTGGCTTTTTGATTTCGTTTGTTTCGGTAAACACCGAGGAAGCTTTTGATTGGTTATCTTACCTGCATTCTCCACTCACCATTTGCAAATCTTGCCCAGGTATGGTGACTACTTGCCAACTTTGCAGAGAATGCCAAACAGTTGGGAAGCTTAGCTGATAAGACTGGGATTAGTGTTTAAACATTTTTTTTCCCACCCCCTCTGCCTGTTTCTAATGCGCCCTTCAGAATGAAAGTTTCTTGTTCATTGTACTTTTATAGTCTCGAGGTGGTTTGCAGTTCTATTCCGCCTGACCACAGGATGCTAATTGGATAGGAGACCCTGCATACTGAGCGAAAAGATAGCTGAATGACAGGGGTGACCGTGTAATGACTGAGTCATAATGCCATTTTATGTGCCTGAACTCAGTGGGGTGAAGGACACTGATTTTCTCCCCTGTCAATAATTTCATAAACCTGTTTATTATATATCTATAGCAAGACAGTTGCTGATAATCTGTATCTGGGTTTTGAAAGCACACCCCTTGAAGTTTTGATGGACTGTCAGTGCTGTAGAACACTGGCCTGTGGTTGTCTAGATGGGACATGTTGGCATGATTTGGGCTCGCACTTGTGGTTGGATGATTAAAATCTTTTCACTGGAGTCTTTTAAGACCTGGAAGCTGCAGATCCAGCAGTTTCGGATGAGAAGTTTCTAGCAGTGTCTGGGGTAGATACACCACCCAGAAAAGGGTGTGATGGAGGCTTTCCTTTAACTCAGTGTTTTACATGTACTCAGCTTTCATTGCATTTGAAAAAGTATTAAGTGAAAAGATGACCACCGTTAGCCAAACCGTGAAATGCTTTCTATTGCACCTTATGTTAAAATGCTTGCTGTTTGCAAAATAGCTAACATTATCAGTTCTCACAAAAACAGAGCGATTGTTTTATCTCCTCCTATGACATGCCGTCAGTTAATTCTCTTTGGCTTTGTTTTACCTTAAAAAAGTAAACTAGGAAGTGCTGCTGTAAATGAGCTATTAGGTTGCTATTGGGGTTGTGATAATAGCAGATACTACTACTGGGTGACTTCTCTCTTGCTTTTTCATTCTCTTGTTACATCATTTGAAGAAAAGCCCACCATCTAGTTATTATTGCTTGTGTCCTTGGCTCCTTTAACATTCACCAGAGGAGGGTGCCACTGTTTGACTTTTTGGATGATAGTTACATCCTTTCAGAAAAGGTGCCTTCCCTGAACTATTAGTTGTGTGTATATGAATGCGCGCGCGCGCAGCGCGCGCGCGCGCGCGCACACACACACACACACACACACACACACACGCATGCACACGCATGCACACGTACACACACACACACACACACACACACACACACATAGCACAGAGGGTAAAGGAGTTGAATTTTATTTGTGATAATTCATACTGATAAGATAAGCCATAAAAGTGCTGTTGAGAGTCAGAGGGGAACTGACTTGTCCTTCTATATTTCCTCCTAATGTATTGATTTCATCCTGTTTTTTAGATGAGGTGCTGATGGCCAGAGACATTATGACCTTCCTAAGGCTATATGGCTAGTTTCGGGCTGTGGGTTTGCTGTCTTTTCACCGGACAAATAAGCTCGCATGTTTATCTAGATATATGGTATATATATATATATATATATATATATGGTACTCTAGGGATACAAAGGTGACTGAACATCACTTCTGTTCTCCAGAAGTTTCAGCCTAATAAGAGAGATAGACTCTTAGACAAAAAATGACAGTGTGGTGTGTTTATGGTGTTCTGGGAACACAGGAACAATCGTTTAAACCAGCCCTCCTGCTCAGCTTTCCAGGGCTGAGCGTACAGGCCCGTGCCACTACAGCCTATGTGCGTTGACTTAAGATCTGAATCTCTGTGACTTAGTAACAGCTGTGACCGTGGGCCAGTTGCTTAAGCAGCTTTATCTAGAGGTATTTTAATAAAAAAAAAAAAAAGGAGGCTAATAATGAACGTAAGGTGAATCCTCTTCATTAGTACTGTGTCTTAGTTGGAAGTACTCAGTGGAGAGAAGCAGCTGGAAGTCTGCCATGTTGAGGCAGTGATAACCAAGGGAGAGATGGTTTACCTGTGGGAATCACAACTTTCGTCACTAAGAACCTTGTTGGGTACCCATAACTAACTTATTAGGCATTCCCCAAATTCTCTGTGTCTTCTTTCTAATATCTGGTCTGGTAAACTTCCGAGTATTAATTAAGGATTCTATGAACATTGAGAAAATAGCACTCTGGTATCAGGCTCATGATTTCTGATTAGTGAAAAGGAATATTCCCTATGAAAAATTAATAAATTGATAGTTTGATTTGTACTTCAGGCTCCCTATAAGTTGAATGAGCACAAACGCATCTCTGGACCTGTGCTGAAGACTAGACAGGATGGTTCTGACTTCATTTAGATGCATAAGGTCTAAAAGAGCATCATCTCTGTGATCCAATGGACCAGGTTCTTAGTTTTATTCTCTTGGACCCTTGAAACATCCTATCCACCACATTATGGGCAGATGGTTGACTGCTTGTGCATGTATCTGAAGCTATGGCAATGATTTTCTTGTGTAACATAAGATTAAAACCACCAAAGGTTACAAATGAAGCTCAGCTTGTGTCAGTAGATAGAGAGATTGCTATTTTTAAACTTCAAAAATAACAGCTAAGGGCTAAGCGTGGTGGCCCAAGCCTTTAGTTTCAAGCACATGGGAGGCAGAGGCAGGTGGATTTCTGTGAGTTCAAGGCCAGTAAGGTCTACAGAATGAGTTCCAGGACAGCCAGCTACTTAGTAAGACCCTATCTCAAAACAAACAAATGAACAAACAAACAAAAAACAAACCAAATCAACCAAACAAATAAATAAAAACATAAAACATATCATCTAGGAAAATGATTGGTAGTGCACTTACTTATAATTTTATCCTTAGGCAAAAGACATTCTGTTTTTTTGTTTTGTTTTGTTTTTCTTTTAAGTACTGTATAGAAGAAAACCTACCAATCCTTTGATGCAATTTTAGCTAAAATCTATCTAGGTGATTAGATTGTTTTATGCTCACATGCTATTAAGCATTCCTGTTTTAAAGGTCGTATATATCTCGACACATAGCTTGAAAAGTTCATATTTCATATCAGAGAAGAATTTGCTTAAGTGCTTATCAGGAGCTTCAGTCTTGAGGCTCAGATGAGAAGCCATGTAGGCTTACCTGAAGGATCCAGGAGTCCAGGTTCTTAAGTCTTTTTTTGGGGGGGCGGGGTTTGAGACAGGGTTTCTCTGTGTAGCTTTGCGCCTTTCCTGGAATTCACTTTGGAGACCAGGCTGGCCTCGAACTCAGAGATCCTCCTGGCTCTGCCTCCCTGGTGCTGGGATCAAAGGTGTGCGCCACCACCGCCCTGCAGGTTCTTAATTCTGATCAGTAGTCATACTTGTTTTGAGCCAGCCTTTCCTCTGAGAATGTCACAGAACCCCAGACATATCACAGGCATGAACATTAAACTTGATGTTCAAAGGCAAGTGGTGTATGGAGCCTCTGTGTTTCAGGTTAGTTTAGTCAGAATGAAATCTAGACCCACAGGAGCCTCCCTTCCTGGGTCTCTTGAACGCCTGCTGGCATGTCTCTTTCTTCTGCAATGTGTGTGCTTGTCTGCTTGGGTGCTGTCATTTTGTCTGTGCGGGTTGTTATGGGGAAAGGTTTTCCAAATCCCTGACAAATCGGCTGCGAGGATGAGAATTATTGAGAATTTTGGAGCATTATACAGTATCCTTTCTATGAAGACCAAGGGAGAGATGGTACCCTAGTACCTTTTTGTTTACATCTTATGGGTGTTGAATCATATAACCGAGTCATCCTGTATTTTTTTTTTTTTTTTTGCTCTAAAAGTACTGAGAGCCAAACCTGTTCTCTAGGAAATGTGTAGAACTTCAAAGAACACATTCATTTGGCGTGCTAAC